GCTGATTTTAGACTCAATATATAGCCAAGAATGACCCTAAATCCCTGATCTGCTGCCATTACTTTCCGGGTATATGAATTACCAAATCCACCAAACTGTACTTAAAGGTGTAGAAACTGAGGTCCAGAGATACTGAGGGCCTTGCTGGTGTCACCTAGCTGTCAGGTGGCAGAGTTTGTCTCCAAGATGGATCCAGAATGAGCCAAAGCTCACCTAACTAGTTCTGGATCCCTCCCTGAGCAACCTCAGCCCAGGAAGATGTCCGCCTCATGTCTCACCCCTCATCACCCTCTCTGTATTTATGTTGCTCTTCTGGGTTTCTGTGGAACCCATGAAGGCTTTTTATAGCAGTGGTCTACACACCCGTATCTCTGCCCATTGACCCTGACCTTCAGGAGGACAAAGACTGTGTAGATTCAATTTCTGCATTTCCACCTGCTTCAGACCTGGCACTGAATAGGTCAGAAACAATAGTGTTGGGGCGTGGTGATGCACGCCTTTAATCTCAGCATTTGTGAGGCAGAGGCAGGCGGATCTCTGTGAGTTTGACGTCAGCCTGGTCTACAGAGTGAGTTCCAGGACAGCCAGGGCCATACAGAGAAACCCTGCCTCAAAAAAACCCAAAAGAACCCTCCTCAGAACCAACCAACCAAACAGACACACACACATGCACACACACATTCACAACACACACACACACACACACACAGAGAGAGAGAGAGAGAGAGAGAGAGAGAGAGATGGGAGAGAGAGAACAACAAAACAAAAATAGTGTAGCCCTCATGGGCCATTCAGGAAAAATACGTTTGTTCATTTAAAAATATTTATTTGGTTTTTCAAAACAGGGTCTCAGTGTACCTCTGGCTGGCCTGGAACTTGCTATATAGACCAGGCTGGCCTCAAACTCACACAGATCCACCTGCCTTTGCCTCCTGAGTGCTGCGATTAAAGGCTTGTGCCACCACACCCAGCTCTTTTTGGCAAGGGAAAGTGGACCCCAGGGCCATGGGCATGCTAGGGAACTGCTTGACTGATGAAACAGCCGCATGCACACATGCACCCCTGGCTCTTGAGGCTGTACTCCCCCCCCCCCGCCCCCGCAGGGTTTCTCTGTGTAACAGTCCTGGCTGGAGGGTGTACTGTATTTACTTTTTTTAGTTGTCTGTTTTACATCCAGACTGTAGCTCCCCTCCCTCATTCTCCCCTTCCAGCCCCTCTCCCTCATTTTTTCCCTCCCACCTCTTAATCCCCTCCTCCTCCGTTTCTGTTTAGAAAGGGCAGGTCTCCTGTGAGTATCAATAAAATACAGCATATCAAGTTGCAGTAAGACTAAGCACCTCCCCCGTGTATTAAGGCTGGGCAAGGTGACTCAGTACAGGGAGTAGGGTTCCAGAAAGCAGTAAAAGAGTTGGAGACAGCCCCTGTTCCCACTGTTAGGAGTTCCATAAGGGGACCAAGCTATGCAACTGTAACCTATATGCAGAGTGCCTAGGTCAGTCTCATGCAGGCTCCCTGGTGGTCAGTTCAGCCTCTGCGAGCCCCTGTGAGCTCAGATTAGTTGACTGTGTGAGCCTTCCTGTGTTGTCCTTGACCCCTCTGGCTCCTACACTCCTTTCTCCTCCTTCTCTGCAGGATTCTTGAACTCCATGTCATGTTTAGCTGTGGTTCTCTGCATCTGCCTCCATCAGTTGTTGGATGAGGCCCTTCTGATGACAACTGAGCAAGGTACCAAGCTGGTCACAGGAGACGCTAGGAGTCTAAGTTGAGGTCCTCCCCATAGACTCCTGGAGATTCCCCAGTGCCAGCCTCTCCCTTATCAGTCCCCTTTAGCACTCTCCCCGACATGATCACTCCTGTTTCCACCCCCACCCGCCCTCAGGCCATTCACAGAATCTCTTCTATTTCCCCTTCCCAGGAAGATCTGGGTGTCCCCCATGAACTCTCCTTGTCACCTAGTCTCTCTGGGTCTGTGGATCGTAGCACAGTTATCCTCTAGTTTATAGTTAAGATCCACTTATGAGTGAGCCCATACCATGTTTGTCTTTATGGGTCTGGGTTACCTCCTTCTAGAATTCACAGAGGAGTAAAACAAGGCTCAGGAGACTTAACTCATTGCCCAGGTGTACCACCAGCCCCAAGGCCCCTCCCAAATCTGACGGACTTCATCACCCTGACCCAGGACCTTTGATCTTCAGGAACACATCCATCCACTCATTCTCCAGTGAGATGCCAGTCCCTGTAAGAACTGGTTACCTTCCTTATGATGTACATTGGTGGTCAGTCCTGTACTATGTCCAGGGGATCCCAGAGTGCCCAGGTTCTACAAAAGAACCCCGAGGTGTGTATCAGTGTCTTTGCTGTGGGTCTCTGGCCTATGAAATACCACAGATACATGTGTGTGCCATATGCCACTTTAATGCCCATCCCCTGTCACATCGGGAGCGTGAGGCAGGGATGGAGTGGGTGTGGGAAGGCTGGTGTATCTGGAAAAGAAGACCCTGACATCCAAGGTGACTCAGTTTGTGTCTGGGTAATCTTAAGGTCTCCCCCAAAGGGTCTCCTTGTCCTTTGCTATTAGAAAACTATTTTGCTGATGAATCATCTGGAGGATATATATGAATGTTACCTGGTCTTCCAGCTGGAAATGCCACCAATTAGATTTATCTGGGTCACAAAATTATTTCTTTAAAAGGCAAAGTAGGGCAGGCTAGAAGAACGGAAAGACACATACTTTGGAGGAAGACTGAATTTGGGACCCGCTGTGAGCCTCTGCACGGCTCAGCCCTCAGTACAAATGACCCAGTCTCTCTAGGCCTTGATTTTCCCACCTGTAAAACTGGAATAATGATGCTGGGTTGAACAAAACGCAGTGTGACGTGTCCAGTCCAGTGTCTGGAACACAACAGGCGGTTCATGAAGTCATCTCTGGTCCAGTTTGAGTTTGGTAATCGCTGAACTAACTGCCTGTCATCTCACCAGTCAAGTTGGGGCGGGGGCAGATTCCTAAACTCCAGAACTCCACACCCCATCGCCAGCTAGAGGCTGGCAGCAGGCGGAGGGCGAGGACTAGCTGCCCCTCCCTCAGACCACACCCACCCAGAGCAGCCTCAACACAGACACGCGCAGCGTTGCTTTAGGAGGCGGGGCCCGCGGGGTTGGGTGACGTCACTCAGGAGGCGGGGCTGCGTCTATGGGCGGAGCCCTGAGATGGTCAGGGCCCTACTAAGCCCCCGGCTCCGCCCCCGGAGGGAGGCTGCAGAGGGGCCGACCGGAAGTCCTTCCGCCTCTGCCCGCCTCCGTCCTCACAGCCTGGTCTCTATCGGCCCGCGAGCGAGGTCGTGCCCCGGAAGTAAAGGGGCCATGTTGATGGGTGACCCCGAGAGAGGTACTGGGCGAGTGGAGAGTCTTGAGGAGAGGTAGCGCGTGGCCCACGGGTGAGTGAGGGAGCGAATTAGGGCGGCCGGGGATCGCCCTCTTGCGCTCGGGCTGGCCGGGGCTACCGGCTTCCTCTGGGGCCTCCTAGCCTCGTCCCGCCCCGCCTCAGACCGGGGTTCATCAAGCCTGCCTGGCCCAGGGTTCTCCGTCTCCGCCCTCCGGGAGTTGTACCCCGACCGGGGCCTATAGCTGATCATTCAGCGACCTTGTTCTAGTCTCTGCGTGACGCTCTCCTCCCAGCGCTCCGTTGGTTTTCTGCATCTCTTGCATCGCCGGAGACCCTTAGGGCCAAGGGGAGCTGCTCTGCACTTGAGGGAAAAGATACAGAGACGGTGGCCTGTCCAGGTTCGCGCTGGAAGTTAGAGTGGTCGGAGGCTATTGCTCCTGTCTTGGGACCAAAGTCCAGATCGTTTTTTTTTTCTTCCAACCAAATACTCCCTTCACCCCTCAAACACATTTAGGTTCCTACAACGACCGTTTCTTTCACGTAGGGATTTCGGGAGGATTCCTCCTTCCAGTATAGTTCTGAGCTTGGTGTGCACTGGGCCCCTGCTGGGAAAGTTTACAGAACACCCGGAAGTGCTGCACATGTAAGGTCCCTTCATTCCAGCAAGTTAGAGTCTGGATTGTCGTGGCGGGTGGGCGAAAAACTTCCTTCTGGGAACGTCGTCAGTTACCTGTCGAACACCTTTAAATTCAGCTCCCGGGAGGCAGAGGCAGGCTGATCTCAGTTCGGGGCCAGCCTGGTCTACATAGTGAGTTTCAGGACAGCCAGGGTTCCACAGAGAGACCCCGTCTCAAAAAAACCAGACTAAACAAAAGCAAAAATAAAACAAAAAAACCAGAGGGGTAGCGGAATGGTTCTGTGGTTAAGAGCACTGACTGCTCTTCCAGAGGACCCGATTTCAATTCTCAGCACCTACATGTTGGCTTACCACTCTCTATAACTTCAGTCTCGGAACTGTGACACAGATTCTGAAGGCACCAGGTATACAGTGGTGTGCAGACAAGCATTCAGGCAAATACCCGTACACGTAAAGTAAAAAATAAAAACGTAATTAAAACAACAATTGCAACGAAGAAAGCCTCTCAAGGTAATATGGTGGTCCCAGGAGGCAGATGTGGCTGAATCCTTGTCTTTAGCCACATTAGGCCATACCTTCTGGTAGAGTTCCGGTACAGCGGTTTGCCGTTGTGAAATATCCTTATACAGAAGGTCTTCTCGTGATGTGGTTATCTGGTTTACAGTGAGGAAGCTGGTATTCAGTGGGGGTTATGTACTTTATACTAAGTGCCATGGCAGTGGGTGGCACAGCCAGGACTCAGGCTCAGGCAGTCTAATTCTTGAGCTTCAGTGACCCATACGCTGAACTTCCCCAGGAGGGCAAGCTTTTGAGAGGTAGGGGATCTCATCCCAGCTCTACCATGAAATCCTTAGAAGTCTCTGAGTCTGGCATTAGGAACCTCTGACCCAGTGTCTAAGGCACTACGCTGTCATCAATGCTGATTCTAGGCTCTGTGTCTTCTGTTTCTAGAGTGAGACGCTTAGTGCTTGTCAGTCCCCCATGGCCCCGTGGAGCCGAGAGGCGGTTCTGAGTCTATACCGGGCTCTGCTGCGCCAAGGCCGAGAGCTTCGCTACACCGATCGAGACTTCTACTTTGCTTCCATCCGTCGTGAATTCAGGAAAAATCAGAAGCTTGAGAATCTAGAGGCTCGGGAGAAGCAGCTGGAGAAGGGCCTGGTCTTCCTCCGCAGCAAACTTGGAGGTCTTGTTTAGGATCCTCTCTTTTCCCTTCCTACCCTAATTCCAAGAAGAGGATAAAGGTGCCTTCAGTAGATACTCCTGGCCCTCCACCCCACCCCACAGATGCATTAGGAAGCCTCAGGTAGGTAGACCCTTGATACTGGAGGTTTATCTCTTTCTGCGCAAGAAACTAGGAAGGGATGACCTCTCCTGTATCATCACAGTGTGTCGTTATTCTCTAGATAAAATGGAGACATGCCAGTAGAAGTGGGCTCTGTTACTAAGAAACTATGGGCCTTGGATTGCAAGCCACCAAAACAGAATTGGCATTTTATTTCATAGACTGTTTTATATATGGGAATATTAAAAAAGATGGTGAAGTCATTAGAGTTCAGCTCCAACCCACCTCGTCTGCTCAGTTTATATTGGATTGCACCATGTTTTCTGAAACATAAGTTTATCATTACTGCATAATTGGTATCGCAATCATTATATTCAGTGCCTGCTTTCAAATCCTGGCAATGCTAGCTATTAGCTATGGATACAGGTCTCCAAATCTTCCCAGGCCTTCATTTCACCATCTGTGGCATAGAAGGAAGTAATAGTACTTAACCTCTTTCGGTTCTATGAGAATTGACCTAGACAGTGTACACACAGCACTGAAAGTGGTACTTGGCAGGTGGGATATTAGACCTTTATTTTCTTACATTTAAAGTTACATTTGAACCGGGGGGTGGTGGTGCACACCTTTAATCCCAGCACTCAGGAGGCAGAGGCAGGCATATCTCTGTAAGTTCGAAGCCAGCCTGGTGTATAAGAGTTAGTACCAGGATAGGCTCTAAAGCTACAGAGAAACCCTGTCTCTAAAAACCAAAAAAAAAGAGTTACATTTGTTATGGGTGTGGGTACATGTGCCAGAACATGCATGTGGAAGTCATAAGACTGTAGAAGGAGCGGCAGGCCGCTTCCTGCCGCCCACCCTGCTAGCTTTATTCGAAATAATTACACGGAAACTGTATTCTTTTAAACACTGCTTGGCCCATTATCTGTAGCCTCTTATTAGCTAACTCTTACATATTGATCTAACCCATTTCTAATAATCTGTGTAGCACCACGAGGTGGTGGCTTACCAGGAGGATTCTAACCTGCAGCTGTCTCGGAGAGGAGAGTCATGGCGACTGCCTCATTGCCTTCTTCCTCCCAGCATTCTGTTCTGTCTACTCCACCTATCTAAACTGCTGTCCTATCAAAAGCCAAGGCAGTTTCTTTATTAACCAATGAAAGTAACACATAGACAGTTAATCCTCCTCCATCATAAGACTGTGGGAGTTGGTTCTCTCTGTCTATTTGGGGGTCTTGGGGATTATAAACTCTGGCCTTCAGGCTTGTTGGCAAGTGTGTTTATCCATTGAGCCATTTCACTGACCCTAGCTCTAGTTGCTTTTGGAGACGTTGCCATCAGGAAGCCCCACTACAGCGTAATGGCCATGTTTAATTCAGAACCTTTCAGAGTCCCATTAAATGCCTAGGTTCTGTGGACAGAGAAGAAAGATGGGTCCATTAAAAACTTTTGCTGGGTGGTGGTTTGGAACACTTTTAATCCCAGCACTTGGGAGTCAGAGGTAGGCGGATCTTGGTGAGTTCGAGGCCAGCCTGCTCTACATAGTGAGTTCCGGGACAGCCAAGACTGTTATACAGAGAAACCCTGTCTCAAAAACCAAAAAGAAAAAAAAAAAAGAAAAGAAAACAAACAAAACAAAAAAAACCCCAAAACTTTAGGGCTGGAGACATGGTTCAGGGGTTATGAGCACTTGTTAATCCAGATTCAATTCCTAGCACCCAGAAGATGGCTCATAACTATCTATAACTCCAGTTCCAAGTGATCCCATTACCTCTTCTGACCTCCATGGGCACCAGGTGTACACATGGGTCATAGACATATTGCAAGCAAAATACATATACATAAAATAAATCTTAAAAACGACAAACCAGCCAAAGGAGGAGTTCAGTGGGAAGTAATTCTAGTATGAACAACGCTATGCCGGCACTGTATAAAAGGCTATGGAGACAGGAATGAAGATGGTTTGCTCTTGGTTCGGGTGGTAGGAGAGAATTGTGGTTACAGAAAAGACATTTGCGGTCTGCTTCAAATGAGAACCAGAAATGTGCTGCAGTGGGGAGAAGAAACAAATGTCTGAGGGTAGGAGCTGCATTTTGTAGCTGGAAGTGAGTCTGGAGTTGAAGTTGGGCCAGGGATGGAAGGACATTGGATTTCCTAGGGAGGCAATAGCGGACTGGGGGCTGTCACATTTTTCTAAGAAGGGAATGATGAAAACATTTCTGTCTTGGAGTGTGCCAGGGTAGTGTGGAGAATAGATTGGTGAGAGACACTAGAGGCAGTGAATTTGGTCAGATGATTGAGGTACTGAGGTGGTCACCTGTAAATACCAGTATAGACAACAGTAGGACTTGGTGGCCACAGAAAGAAAGGGAAAGAGGCTAAAACTGAAAGCTTGGGCGTAGTTGTACATGCTGGTAATTCCAGCACTCAGAAAACTGAAGTAGTTTAGTTTGAAGCTAGCCTGGGCAACATAGATGTTTCAAAATAAGGAAAAGAGAGAAAGGCAGAGCGTGGCTGTGGTATAAGGCTTGCCAGTTGGGTAGAGGGTAATGCTTACTGAGACAGAAAGCAGGAACCCTTATGTAACGGCTCTCAGTTGTTAGTCACACTTACATTGTTTGAGAGACCCGCCTTTTGCAGCCCAGGACTCGAGTTGGTGATGTGCACGGAATCCTGCATGCACAGGGAAAGGCAGTGGGTCTGAAGAAGTAGGGGATTACTGAATGCATTCTGATGTTTTGGTTGTGAATTGTGTTAAATCTTGCCATCAGGGTAAAATGAAGAGCTAGGTATGATGGTACAAAACTCTAATCCTAGTACTCAGGAAGCTGAGGCCAGAGGACTATAAGTTCAGACTTAGCCTGCGACAGGTAGTAAATGTCAGATCAGCCTGGGATATACAACAGATTATGTCTGGAAAGGCATGGAACAGGTAGTAAATATTTTCAGCCTGAGCTAAAGAGCTGCCTATGTCTGGAGGAAATCAACAAAACAAAATCCCTCAAATGCCATAGGTTAGTTCATTCATTACAGTAGATACTTAGTATGTCAAACAGTACATTCTTGTAGCAGTGAATGTGCCAGAATGCTCCAGTGAAGCTATAGTGGCTAGAAGTCTAGAAAGGTTAGAGATGAGCTGTGAGGTAATATGGCAGGCTGGTTGGGACTCATGGATTGGTTCTCCCAGCAGCGTAAGCTCTGGATTCAGACCCTGACTGTACACTTTACTGGTGTATAAGTTACTCTGGGCTAGTTACTGAACATGTTCTTCAGTTTCTTCATCTTTAAATTGAAGATAAGAGCTAGATATGATCATACATGCTTGTAGTCACAGCACCTAGGAGGAGACAAGAGGATAGGAGTTTGAGACCAGTGTTGCCTACATAGGGAGTTTGAGGCCAGCTTGGGTGGCATGTTTCTAGGGAAGAACTCATGGTTGATAACTTGTAAGAAATAACAAGTTACTCCCTGTATGGAGCACTTAAAATGAAGGCCAAAGACTCAGGATGAATCACCCACTTTTATGCTTAGGTTCAGTAATGGATAGCTGTGTAGATATAGGATTGGATGTGGTGTTTAATCTGATAACAATGGATTGAGAGGGAAGTCCAGCAAGACCTCCTTTCTGTGAGGGTCTTTTTGGCCCCTGATTTGTGTCATTTCTTCCTGTCAGGTATGGGGCAGGTCCCTTTCTAGAATAGGAGTCTCTTTTGTCGTTGTTATGTTTGGTTTGGTTTTGGTATTTTGAGACAGGCTTTCTTTCTCTGTAGCCCTGGCTGTCTTGGAACTCACTCTGTAGACCAGGCTGGTCTCTGACTCAGAGATCCACCTGCTTCTGCCTCCCGAGTTGGTGGGATTAAAGGAGTGTTACACCTGCCCGGCTTGTAATGGGGTTTTAAGATCTATACTCAACCAGGGAGTTTGCAGCCTGTTGCACAGAAGAGTAGGAGGAGTAGTTTTAAAACAAAGTGCTTTTGTTTGTGTGGGGGGTAGTGATGCTGCTGGGAATGGAGCCTAGGATCTTGAGCATGAGAGGCAAGTGCTCTACCTCTGAACTATATTCCTAGCCCCTAGTGTGGTATTTTTGGTTTTGTTTTATGGTTGACTTTGAGTGAAATGGGTTCTGAGTTCCAGTTAATTAGTTTATTTATTTTGGGCACTATGTATCACTGACTGGCCTGGAACTCACTATGTAGACCAGGCTGGTCTCAAATTCACAGAAATCCACCTGCATCTGCTTCCCAGTGCTGGGACTGAAGGCTTGTGCTACTATACCCTGCTAGTTTTTATGCCTTGCCTCTTGGGGGAGTTGGAGGGAATCTGCTTCTGAGGCCTTTATTTGGGGTGTTGCTTACTGAGCCACTGCATTTGCTATAGGTTAGTTACTGTCACATGCACTCAAGCTGCACATGGTAACAGACATGCCTGAACTTATTCAAATAAGTCCTGCTTCTTTTCTATCTAGTTAGGAAATTGCAAGGGTTTAACATCCTCACTAAGTAGAGAAATGAGTATTTTCTTATTTTTGTGTTTAGGGAAATAGTTTAAATAAAATTTGCTTGAAGTGTTCAGAGTGCGATTCTTCCCAGCTTTCTGCTAGGTCAGTGTTTTCTTTTTTTCTTTTTTTTTTTTCTTTTAAAACATCTTAGGGGCTGGAGAGAAGGCTCAGCAGTTAAGAGCACTGGCTGTTCTTCCAAAAGACCTCGGTTCAGTTATCAGCACCCACATGACAGTTCATAACTGTCTTTAACTCCCCTTCCAGGGGATCTGACACTCTTATACAGATATACATGCAGGCAACCCCCACCAATGTACATTAAATAAATAAATCTAACAAAAACAAAACCCGAGTGGTTTAAGGTGGTTTAAGTGCACAAGTCAGCAGTGTTATACAGCAGGCTTCTAGAACTTT